AATATATGCAAGATTATCCTTCACATAAAAGCCTACCCCTCCAGCATTGGTACAGCTTGGTTGAGACAAAAAGTTATAACCAGTTATATTTAACAATTATTTGCCGGAGGCGAGGTGAAAATCGTCGAATCAGTATCCCCGAGACGAAGTCGAGGGGATTATTCGACAATATTTACCGAACCTGAGGCGAATAATTGTTTTAGTATAATTTCAGAGCTGAACAACAGAGAAATTTCTAAAATCATAACATTTTAGTAACATTTATTAACATTTTATTTTAACATTTTATATAACGTCATATAACCGCTCGACCAATCAGATTGTTGGAAACTCTTTGCTCAGCTCTGAAATTATACTAATAATATTTACTAAAGCATCTCGATCATTCTTTAACTTTGTCTCAGTTACACCTAATACAGATATAGGGAAATATAATTCAGATACCATATTAACTTGGTTATCAAAATTTGCCTGCAGGCTCCGATATTACAATTTAAAAAAGAGAGTGAATTACTAGTTAGACAATTGATGATATCATCATTAACATGAAAATCATGTGTGGTGAAATAATTAAAATTCAAGTCAAAGGGCATTTGGATGTCAATGTCTGAATTAGTAAGGTGATCAATGTTGGAAATAGGAGAAGTAATATCTACTTCAGGTAATGAGGCAGAGCTACTTGGGTAATTGGGGCTGTGATGATGAGGGACTCTGCCAGGAGACCTATCACAAAACATTGTCTTTCTTGAATTTTAAGCAATCCTTGAACAGTGCCTTGTTCTTTGGTGTTAAACTTTCATCGATGAAGATCTTCTTATCAACAGAGAAACAGTAAGACCAAAGACCTAAGACCTAAGACCTAAGACCCCTCGAAAACGAAGACCCATTGATAAACTTTTGGGTACGGAATATTTTAAAAGAAAGAAGACGTCAAGGCGTCAAGGTGATCTTTACAACTTGGACACAATTAATACAGCGAACTATGACCCGGAGGAGCTACAACTTAGGAGATTGTGAATTTTACTTTGGGTGTTTACATGCAGGCTACCGAGCTGCAAAATTAAACGTTGGTTATAGATAAGTAAACTTATCGCTGCTAGATTTACAATGTCTATTTAATTTAGAAAGAAAACGTGAGCTTTCCGTTTCGCTTTTCATTTAACAAATTGGTTCATACGTCAGCGTGCGTTCATCGAGATATGAAGCACGTGGAAGTTTGGAGACTTGGCACGAAAGATGCGTAAGAGTGTCTCGAGGCGTAGCCGAGAGCCACTCTAGCTTCCCAAGTGCTTCATATCTCGATGAACGCACAGCTGACGTATGAACCAATTGTTTTATAACATTTTCAATGCTGTAGTTTATGTGTAAAGGGCAGATATTCCCCCTCCTATGCTTCAATGCGTTATTTATTTATTTTGTTTCGGAAAAGTATTTCGCTATGCTTCAATGACTTTGTCTCAGATTGGTCAAAGCACGCTCGCGTTATTGAATTTGAGTACACGAATTTATAAGCTACCGTATTTTCTCGATTAAACGCCGGCCTCGAAAACACAGGGTCAACACTGACGATTTTTTATTAAACGCCGGGGGCTTTTAATCGAGAATGTACGGTTGTTTTAATACACACTAGTGTGGATGGGGCCTGTTTTAAATTTTTATAAGCAAATACGCTGGTCTAATCAAAGTTCATGTAACTTGACCCCGTTGACCTTAAGTTTTGTGGACCACAACAAATTACCTAGGACAAGGCGAGAACCGACCTCCATAATAGGGTATAACTGAACAAATCACAACATATCCAACGTCCCAAACATATTATTGAAAGATACAAAAGCCCATCCACGCGAAAGAAGATGAACTGAGCTGGTCCTGAATTGTCGTTTTAACACTTTACTGCTTAAATAATATTACCAGAAGTCACCTAGTGCGGTACAAACTGGAAGTGGCTGTATATCGCTAGAAACGATACTGAACCCCAGCAAATGGTTGCTATTGGTTGTCTCAGCATGTACATCCCAAAATAACTATATTCTGATGCCAAGTCCTCGTTAGAATTATTGAAAAGCAGAGGAGTAATCTCTTAGTATATCTTCTGTAGTCCCCAACTAAACACAGCTTTCGGCGGTGTCTGCACGTTCCTCCCCAAATATCTTTATTCTGATACCAAGTGCTCGCTTGAATGATTCCGCAGCTGAGGAGTAGTCTCCCAGGTTGTGTTGAGCAACCCCCAAGTCACGGTAGCTAGCGGCAGTCTCTGCATGTTTTTCCCCAAATAGCTATATTCTGATACCAAGTGCACGCTTGTGTGACTCAGCAGCGGAGGAGTAGTCTCCCACGTTGTGTTGAGCAACCTCCAACCCACGGTACCTGTCGGCGGTGTCTGCATGTTCCTCCCCAAGTAGCTTTATTCTGATGCTAAGTGCACGCTTGTGTGACTCAGCAGCTGAGGAGTAATCTCCCAGCCCATGTTGGGTAAACCCCAGCCGAGAGTAGCTGTCGGCGGTGTCTTCATGTTCCTCCCCAAGTAGCTTTATTCTGATGCCAAGTCACGCTTGTGTGACTCACCAGCTGAGGAGTAATCTCCCAGTTCGTGTTGGGTAAACCCCAGCCAAGAGTAGCTGTCGGCGGTGACTACATGTTCCTCCCCAAGTAGCTTTATTCTGATGCCACATGCACGTTTATGTGACTTAGCAGCTGAGGAGTAGTCTCCCAGGTTGTGTTGAGCAACCCCCGGCCCACGGTAGCTGTCGGCGGTGTCTGCATGTTCCACCCCAAGTAGATTTATTCTAATGCTAAGTGCACGCTTGTGTGACTCAGCAGCTGAGGAGTAATCTTCTACTGCATTTTGTGTAACCCCCAAGAGACGGTAGCTGTCGGCGGTGTGTTTATGTTCCTCCCCAGGTAGCTTTATTCTGATGCTAAGTGCACGCTTGTGTGACTCAGCAGCTGAGGAGTAATCTTCTAGTGCATTTTGTGTAACCCCCAACAGACGGTAGCTGTCGGCGGTGTCTGCATGTTTCTCCCCAAGTAGCTTTATTCTGATGCTATGTGCACGCTTGTGTGACTCAGCAGCTGAAGAGTAGTCTCCCAGCCAGTGTTGGGTAAACCCCAGCCGAGAGTAGCTGTCGGCGGTGTATACATATTCCTCCTCAAGTAGCTTTATTCTGATGCCAAGTGCACGCTTGTGTGACTCAGCAGCTGAGGAGGAATCTTCTAGTGCATTTTGTGTAACCCCCAACAAACGGTAGCCGTCGGTGGTGTCTGCATGTTTCTCCCCAAGTAGCTTTATTCTCATGCCAAGTGCACGCTTGTGTGACTCAGCAGCTGAGGAGGAATCTTCTAGTGCATTTTGTGTAACCCCCAACAGACGGTAGCCGTCGATGGTGTCTGCATGTTTCTCCCCAAGTAGCTTTATTCTCATGCCAAGTGCACGCTTGCGTGACTCAGCAGCTGAAGAGTAGTCTCCCAGCCCGTGTTGGGTAAACCCCAGCCAAGAGTAGCTGTCGGCGGTGTCTACATGTTCCTCCTCAAGTAGCTTTATTCTGATGCCAAGTGCACGCTTGTGTGACTCAGCAGCTGAAGAGGAATCTTCTAGTGCATTTTGTGTAACCCCCAACAGACAATAGCCGTCGACGGTGTGTTTCTGTTCCTTCCCAAGTCGCTTTGTTCTGATGTTGAGTGCACGCTTGTGTGACTCAGCAGCTGAGGAGTAGTCTCCCAGGTTGTATTGAGCAACCCCTAACCCATAGTAGCTGTCGGCGGTGTCTGCATGTTCCTCCCCAAGTAGCTTTATTCTGATGCTAAGTGCACGCTTGTGTGACTCAGCAGCTGAGGAGTAT